CTTACAAGGGAGTTCTTCTGAGATATCAACACCAAAAATAGATCCTTCGTGCCCGTTCAATATGGCCAGAAGTTCCGAGCGACTCTCTGAAACATAGCATCGCCATACAAGGATCTCACCAAAGATTGTTCCTCCAGCCATAAGAACAGCGTCTTGGTCTAGCCACTTCAGTCTCGCAGCGTAGAGAATTGGTCGCGAAGGCGAAACAATAGATCCGACGACCGGTTTGTCGTCTCCATTCAGGTGTAAGTGGACGACTTCGTTATGAGCCGTTGCGAGCACCGCAGAAGAGTCGTCGTATGGCGACGGTGCAATATCGTAGATCCAATCTGGAGCGGCAGTCTTCTTCACAATCACTTGAGTATCCGTCGTGTTTGCGATCAATCCCTCAATATTCGACACCACTGCAATCTGTGCAGCACCCCAGGCCAACACTCGCCCATTGCCCAACAGGCGTATTCCATGAATAGGTTGTGCAGAGAAGACACGCACGCTGCCTACACGCAATGCATGGCCGGTTTGAAGATCGTAGAGAGTCAAGTGAGTATCCTCGCCAGCGAGAAGATACTCCGCATCATGGAAGAAGGCGAGTGAAGTGATGGGGCCCTGAAAGAATTCCCGAGTAAGGCTTGACTGGCATGTGTGAGCTCATGATAGCGGGGGAGGGGCATTTATGATCATAACTCACATCTGCCATTATTGACAGCGGGAAATAAAAAATTGATTGAGCTTTAAATACGCGCTCGTTTACTTACTCGTGACCAGGGCAATATTTATCTACCATGAGAGCTCTTGCGGCGAGTCTGGATGTAGAGTTAAAATTTGTGTTATATGAATGAGGTTTTGTGTGGATTCTCAGTCAGCCATGAGAAAATTTTTGGGCTGGCTCTATACACATACTACCATGGCCTATCCTGACGAAGTATCATTAAACTCTTGAGTTGAAACGTCACAAAAAAATCGGATAGTAAATAAATTGTTATATATTTTTATGTTTCGAGGGCGAACGTTCAGGATAGCTATGTAATGTTCATTCATTGCCCAGTAATCTCAAGAAGAAAACATTTGGGTATCATGCCATCCGGCATCTTCCCGTTGCCAATATCCACCAACTTCCTTTGCAAAGCGATAACATAACCAAAACTCTTTCGTGGCGGCGTGAGTGCTATAGCAAACATTACCCTGTCATTCGATCCCGAATATCAAAGTCAAACCAAACGCCATTAATGCAATCATCATCGATCTCAAAGTCAAATAGACTTGAGGAATCATATCATTGAGTTACTCGCAGCGGTTTAAGCACGATGAGAGTAGGGCTCATAGGCGAGATCAGAACGGGCAGTACCGCTGGGGTAGCGAGGAGCACCGTACTGAGACTGAGACTGGTTGTGGTTGTAGTAGCCGGTCTGCATCTCGTGGTCGTCACCGAGAGGAGCGTAAGAGCCGTGCTTGTTGGTGGCGCCACCAAGCAGCTTCTCACCATCGGATCGGCGGTTCTTCTTGTCGCGACTTCGGCTCTCAGGCTTGCAGCAGCAGATGGTGAACATCCAGAAGAGACCGGCTGCGATGGCGAAGGCGGCTGCGATAGAGACACAGGCGAAGAATCGGCCGTTGATATCACCCTTGACGCCGTAGAACTTGGCTGTGCCCTCGACAGCACCAACAACTGTACCGGCAAAGACACCAGAGAGCACGACAGCGGCGATAACGAGAGTGGAGGCAATACCAGCGACGATCCATGTCAAGCATGAGAAGATGCGAGAGCAATTGGAGAAGATACCGAGAATAATCTCAGCAGCGAGAGCGATGAAAGCGGCGATGTAGACGACCTGTGTCCACTTGGTGACAGTCTTGAAGGCCTTGAGAGCATCCTGAATCTCATCAGGAAGTTCAATCTGGACATTCTTGTCGGCACCAATGAGATAAGACGTGTTCAACTTCTTGTTGGCCCAGTCAAACTCGGGCTTCTCGCACTTTCGCTTGCCATCTGAGTCGGTCTTACAGAAACCCCAGAGGTTGATGTCGTAGTACTTGTCGAGACCGAGCAGCTCAGCGGTAATGTTGTCCTTGATCTTGTCGGCACGCTCCTCGATCACAGGCACATCGCGAGTATCCAACTTTAAGTTCTTGAGGTCGAGGTTGTCGATAATGTTGCCGACATCGGCAGGGCTGATGCTGAGGTTCTTGACATCGATTCGGAAGATGTATAGAGACTTATCGGCGACACCAGCGAGAGCACCGACTAGTAGGAAGATGATGGAGCCGACTGTGAGCACGAACGGCAATAGCACGCAGAAGAATCGACCGACGCCCATTGTTGCGGTCTGTGTGTGGTGTGGTTTTTGGAGGTTGTTTTTAGGTATGCGGCGGATTCGGAGATCGAATCGGAATATGACGTAGAGTTAGCAGAACGAGTGCTGAGCTGTTATAAGCGAATGACTCTATTCGAGTGAGAAGAACGAAATGCGACGGATAGGAAATGACGCGAACGTAAATAAGGGAAAGATGAGATGAGGCGAGATAATAGAGGAGAGGAGAATATCACCAGAGGGAAGAAGAGGATGGTTTTATAAAAGCTGAATCACAGCCCAGGACCAGGACCACTTGTAGGTACGGATAGGTAAGTTCCAGGTTGGGCTGGGCGTGAGCACTAACCGTTGTGCTGCAGCACAGTTACGCACTAGCAAACAGATGAGGGGGTTGGATGTTGGTTGACGTGGAGTGGCGCAGCGAGCCCCTACACCCCGGACAGGCATGATCCCGCGCTCAGCTCACACTGTGATTCTGGCATTGTTGTAGGTGGTGTCGTACAGTGCGCAACCATCACGTTCTGCCTCATCCGCCTGGAGGCGTTGCGCTTACGACTCCCCCCGGTTACCCAAGCCCAAAAGCCCAAGCCTGGTTGTTACAGCTTGAGGTCAGGTTCCCGCTAAGAAGGTCACAGTGGAGAGATAGGGCGCTCAGCCACTCATCCACGCTTTCACTCTTTTTGATGAAGCTGAGCTCGTTCGCTTTTCGCTTGTCTAACCTTGAATGGGCGCAGCTCACGTTAATTTGCTCTCTCAGGCTGTGCTAGTTGGAGCAGCTGAAAAGCTAACGTGAACTTGGCTTGTGGCTACAGCGAGGTTATCTGCACTCTCTTGACTCTTCAGGTCCTGTTGCAGGAGGAACTGCTGTAAGCTTTGGATCTCCCCACGATCAACATGACGATCATGTCATTGGCCCGGCAGCCTACTGTGTACATATATGATCTTGGTGGCTGGAAGAAGCTTGAGTGGTGATAATTGACACAATGAAAGTTTCTAATGCGGAATTAACGATCATGATGACATTGCTCCGCAACTAATACACCACGGATCACTTCCTTATCCTCCAACATTTTACGATTATCGAACCAAAATATGGATCCATATCCCTACAGAGTCAAAAACGCAGGGACCCTGAGCTTTTGGTGCTGACGACAGCTGCTAGGATAATGATCCACCTCCAGCACCCACCACTTGATTTTTTTTCTCCATATCAACACAGGAAAACAAACAAGAAAAACAAACGGGATGACTTTGTATGACTATGGCAACTGGGCGGGATAACGCAGACGGTACCACTCTATTTTTGCTGAAAGGTTACACAATTTAAGTTTGTGCAAGATTGAGTTGCCGTTGTCAAAGAGAGCGGGTGTCAGATGGGAAACACCCGTTGTGCTGACAACGAAGAATTCAAGCATGAAGCTGTCAGCCTCTGTTACGTCAAAGTACCATGCCCAATCCTTATCCACAATCGCGATGTGGGATGAAAGTCTGCAGCCTTACAAGAGAGCAGACAAAACAAGTCATTTTTCGCGATATTATCGATTACTCCCCTGTCTAGATTCCTGTCTGGAGGAACTGACATGCAAAGCCTCCCCTCCATCTTCGAAACACAGCCTTTGCTAGTCCCGGGTATCGAGAATGTGTACGTAGACCGCGTCTAATTTTAGATTTTGCCGCGTTTTTTTGCCTCGCTCAGCCCTCCCTCAGTCTCAGACTCTCAGTCTCACTCGCTTTCTAGGGTCCCCCCACATTACGCTGGCTTCCAGTGACAGCCTGGAAGCTTACAGACTCTGCTGCACCGCCTTTCGGTCCACGCCGTTACCGGCACATGGGAACTGATTGATAATTTTGTTACGGGGGAGCCAACGAATGATGAAACTGCGGCATCTTTATTTTGACATCAAACCCAATTATCAATTCATCCCACTATCAACCCGAGAAGAGGTTCACCCACCGACTTTCCAATTTATTATCACCGGTTTGGGAATGGTCAAGCTTACACATGCAAGGGCCAAACTCTGAGCCTGAAAGATGCTGACTTCAGCTGCCACGACTTTGTCACTTATCACCAAAGTCCTTCTTCCACATGCAGCTAGACATTGTTTTTCGTACTGACCGATGTTTTGACCCTATCACCTTGTACCGATATCAGTATGGTGAACTCCAAATTGCCATGTGATGGGTGTAGTGCATATTCTGACATGTTTACTGCTTCTCTTTGATGATTGGAGTCATTCTGGTGAAGTATATTGTTGATGACGATGTCATTCATTCTAATATATATTACTTGCTGCATGTTAACAGACCGTATCCCAGAGCGGTCTATCCACTTGGGTCGTCTGCAGTTCGATGGGCCAAATACTAATGAAGCTTCATTGGCTTGACAAACATAAACGTCACTCATTCCCAGGACATGCAATAGACACGTAAAAGTCATATATCATCTTCCGTGTTTCTGACAAGTACTCTAATCTGTGCCATCTATAGACAAATTCACTCCCAAGTTGATTTCTCAGAGTAGCTATCCAGGTGAGCTCCCATCGACTTGCCTTTGCCCATTGAGCAAGCTGCCGTACTCATCCTACATGAACATCATATCAAGACAGTCGTCTCCTTAACCAGACTTCATGTACACAACATGATGTAAAGATGGTCAACACAACCAAACATCACAATAGTGGCCTGGCCAAGTTAGACTTCGAAACTTTGTTCGCCGACTTTCGCTCCTTTGTGAATGATCTTGAAGTTCACGGTTCCATTATCACAATCCATCTGAATGCGATAGTCGAGCTGCGAGAAAGTTTTACGCTGGCTATTGGTCCATTTTGGAAGCTTCCTGGCATCGATGGCTTTGTTCCAGGTGACAGTGCAAAGTTCCTGAACACTGGCCAAAGCTTTAGGTGCTCTTGCAGGCGGAGGGAATTTCGTTGTGCAGTAGATTGTTTCAGAGATCTGGACTGCGCTACCTGAGAGAAGGCGGTAATAGTCATGGTGAACTGGATTCTTCTCCGAAATAGATTCACCCTGGTAGAAGATAATATGTCAGCAACGAACTGTTATCCCATCTAGTCATGCCCTCTCACCTCCTTGAGAAACCATTGCATCTGGTTTTCCGCCTTGTGTTGTTGTTCGTCGTTAACCCAAACTTTGTCCACTTTCTTGTGTTTTCCCGCGATGAAAGGAGTACGATATTTGATACCATAGCTCATTCGAGCGATGCGTGCCTCAACATTGAGTCCCACGCTCAAAGAGGGGTCGTGTCGAAGCAACCCTTGCACAACAGCGCCACGGCAGATCGCAGTCCATCTATAATAGTTTCAGTATGGAAGTACTAAATTCTTTCACTTAACCCATGAATGCTTACGGCTTAGTCCCGCGAGACTGGAGGATGGTTTCATCACCAAAGCAGTCCTGAAGACGGTTGAAGAGGTAGCGGCTACGGCCGAAACCTCCGACGAGAACGATGTACTAAGTGGCAAGGTTAGGTATACACCTCGAAAGTATTTTGGGTGGCATCCATACCTTGGGCTCTTTGTGATACTTGGCTTGAATGGCGTCTACCTGGCGGCTGACAAGAGCTTCGATCTTGTCTGTGATCGGGGAGAACACGGACGAGATCTCATTACTGCAGATAGAGTTAGTCGAGCAAGGTTACTCGGGTATACAAACTCACGAGGTGAGATCAAGTGTCGCACGGCGCTTCAAGCCCGTGGATAAGTCGCTGCTGCAACTTTCCGGCAGATCGACTGGCCATGTCCGAGGCTGATTCTCGAACTAAGGTTTGATTCCGTGCTCCCATTGGTCGTTTAGAAACTTCTTCTCGTCAGAATGGCCGACAAAGTTCCATGTACCCTTGGGAACTTTGTTCTTGATGAGTTTAATGAAAGCCTCGTCAAGAAAGACACCACCACAAAGGCCACCTAGCTGTGAGTTAGTCATTTCGAAGCTCTCTCAGTAGGATGGCAGATGCTCTTCAACTCACCATCGCCTTTGACACACTCTTTGACGACGAATGGGTCAGTTGATTCGAAGACATAGCTAATGAGGTCCTCCAAAAGATTAGCAGTGTACAGTTCCGCCTTGAGATGGACTTACGACTGTGCCTCCACCTGCATCACAGACAATGATAGTGTCGCCAGCCTATAGGTGTTATTATAGTGAGTTGCGCTCCAGTATCAGTTGGAATTTTAGCTCGTACCTTGATTGTCGAGCGTTTAGACAGATCTTTGATAGTTGCAAGGGCGGCAGCTTCAGGCTCAGAGATAAAGTGCAGGGAGGTAGCACCAGCAGAGCGTGCATCCAGAATACCAGACTGTTGAGCGGCTTGCTTCATCCGCTGCTGGGCATATGGAGGCCAGATGGCTGGCAAGGTGATTACGACTTGCAGTTTGCATCGTCGAACCAGATCGGCGCCAATGGTACGCTTGATAGACTCGGTGGTATGATCCCAAAGGTTGCGAAGGAAGGTCGCAATAATCTCAATAGGATCTTTCATCACTTTGTACTTGAGGCGACGAGATTCCTGAAGCTGGGTCGAAGCCGCAACTTCAACAGGAATGTCCTTGGTCTCAAGAAGCAATAGCTTGAACCACTTCAGTGGCTCATTCTCGGAAGGGATACCATAGCCCCATTTGACACCCTGAGCTCTCTCATCGTAGAAGAGCTGTGTGGGAGCCTTTTCGACGTCCGAGCAATGGTTAAGTTGAGAATCCCAGCTTGTGACTATCTCGATGTCATCAGGCTGGCGGGAGTATGCCCAAGCAACACCGGAATATCTAAGAACACGTTCAGTCATCAATACAAACGCATAAATTATAGGCTTACGTCGTCCCAAAGTCGATACCAATGATGATGGCATCGCCTTGTGGTTGGTTGGCGGTCATGATGCCCGAGTTCTCCTCACAAAGGGGAATGATAATATCAGGAAGGTTGTTGAGATGAAGAGAACGTCTGGGGTAAAGGGAATATAAGGAGAGAAGAAGAAGAAAAGTTAGAAGAGAGAGAGAAAGATATAGGAAGGGGAAAGAAATGCATATACGCGTGCCAGCGCTTTGATGATTGCCAGTGTTGACAGTGCTTGCCAGGTGCCAACTGACAAACAGACGTATATTGACGGTGTAAGATGGCAGGGTATGATTGGGGCAGTGAATCATCATAATAAAAGAATTAATAATATGAAAATGCCTGCGAAAGCCCGTTTGCTTAAGCTGCACGCTTTTCTGTCACGGCGAAGTTGCTCCAGCTCCTCCCATCAGCACCACTCCTTTTACGGGGAGAGCTTTAGAATTTCATTTCTCTACCTCTCTCCATCTCCCCTCTAACTCTCGTTTACCTGAGATTCTTACATCAAAAGTCTCAATAGGGGACACTCCTTTTTATCAACCTTGAACTTGAGAGCCAGGTTCGTGCGATATTCCTGTAAGTAGAACACCCCTTCTCCTTGTTTATCTCTTGCACTTGCTGAGATCTTCTCAAAGTCACTATTTCATCCCAACTCTGTCAGACAAGTCAGAATGAACCCTCGAGACAAGATTTCGAGCCAACACCAATCTGGCATGGGGGCTCGATCTGGGAATTTCATCGCTACTGGGCAACAAGCATATCATGTTGGTGCATCTGGGCCCCTCGTGGATGTTAGTAACCACGGCGGTGCTTCGGGACGACAGAGCAATGCTGCACCCCAGCATCGCTTTAATGGTAAGCATAATTCGTCTATGAATGAGTTCTTGACTGTGCAGGAGTCGCGAGTGAGCGGCTTTCTTCAACATTCTGCACAGCAGATAGACATGCAGCGGTCCGCCCTCCAACACGTGGCGAACCATCTCTCCTCCACTGCTACCAATATTGGACAAAGCATAGCCCAGTGGATGGGACATCCAGCTTCAGAGCGAGCAGCCGACTTGTATCAAGAGCTTGAGAAGTCTCGCGGTCGGCAGATTGATGCTGATAACCAGTACCGACAACTGAAGGACGAGTATCAGGCCTTGGAGAAGCGGCTGCAAGACTCCAACACCGAGCTTGAGAATGCTATCAGGGAGCGGGACGAGAAACGACTACTCGCCGAGAGTGCCAACTGGACAGGTTCGACAAAGGTATCGGATGATGCTATTCAGAGCATGTGGAAGCAGCTTGGATATAACATTCGGGCCATGAGCAGATCTTTGGCCAAGTGCCAGGTTCGCCGTCCCCAGAACGATGACATTAGAAACCGACTGTCCATGGCCGTGCCACGCTGGAACAAGTTATTGCTCAACGATGATCACAAAGAGTTCGTCATCAGCGCTTATCTGTGGGCCATTGTAGCAGAGATCATTGAGGAAGGCAGTGAGATTATGGGAGGTGATCACGGAATGAACTTCAAAGCGATCCGGGCTGAATTCATTGGTATGTACTAAATTCGATTTTGAGATGATCTACCAATATCTAACCATTGCTCGCAGGGGCTGCTCCCGAGGGAGACAAACCTTCAGGCCGTGGTCCAACTCTCCGCCATGTTGCACGATGGGCTGCACAAGGTGCAGCCTTGTTTGGACATTTTTTTGTCCGCAACGAGCAAGCATTCAGGATCCGAGCAGCTTGGGAGATCGAGGGGCTGAAAGCTTTCATGGCTTTCCCTAAAGACAAACCAAGCGCTGACCTCCTCCAGGAGATGAAGGCTATCATTGATACTGCGCTAGAGCTAGACGAGATGTTGATGAACTCCAAAGCAATATTCACCATCCGCCGACCCGAGAGCGACGGCTCGAAGAACCAGCGATTCGATGCAACAGAAATGGAAGCCTTTATACAGGGCAAAGACTTGTCGTCAAAGACTGTTGTTGAATTTGCCATCTCGCCCATGCTCATCAAGATGGGCAACGCCGATGGCTGCAACTACGACAGCCGCATGGTTGTTTGCAAATCTTTGGTTGTATGCCGTTAACTGCCGTTAACACGGAGGCAAGATTATATGAAAGAGCACTCTCATGGACAGGAACACGACATCTGAGTAGAACTGGAAGTGTTTCTAGAGCAGCAATCCCACGATTTTATGAGGGTATCAAGCACTGGTGGTATATATGGTTCTATGGTGATTTTATCCGAGGCTAGTACGCCAGATTAGACGCCAGGGGGATACAGAAACCATAATGTCAGAGTAGTTTGTTGTTAATCATGTTTTGTCTTAACTACATCGTTACAGTGTGTGATGCGTCTCCTCGGTGCTGTTCACCTTTACACAGAAAAGGAATAGTGCGCACTAGACCAGCTGTAACTGGCAAGCCAACGCGGGGATGTCTTCGGTGAGATAAGCACGAGGGATAGTCAGCTGTCACTGCACAGAAACTGTGTTATCGTAGTGTCTAGTGTGACAAACTATTGGTTCACTACGGAGGCGAGAACGGCGGCCTCAAAAGAGCTGACTGATGGACTGTGATTTGATACATCATTATGCTCTCGTATGTAGTCATAGTAGAAAGAGGGGTTGAGACTTGGCCTTTTCGCCATTATGTAGCAGCTGTTGTACTTACATGTGAACTGATTTAGATCGAGAGTCCCAATGTTTGACCGAGTTTCTCGTTTGCTTCGAATCAGTGAATGGTCGAGACAGAACAAGCTCTCGCACGTGCCAACAGTTGTCTCCAACTCAGGTCAGTCTGAATGTCAATCTCCAGGGATTCGGGTTAGTTATCAGGGGGGCCCGGGCCTTGAAGCCGTTGCATTTCGTGGTCTTTGGGTGACGAATCAATCCATGTCGATTTTTATAGAGGTCCAGATTAGATCTTACCAGTCCAAATCTGTCTCGAGTCTCCGGTTCAGGTCCCGAGACCCAAAGATAATGAGACGACTGCTGTGGAAAACCACCATATGACAGGTTTATGCGGAGGACGAATGCCGAGGATTTCAAGTCAGAGGAAACAGCAGAGAATAGACAACTTGGTGAGAATCTTCGCCTCTTATCAAGTCTTGTCAAGCTTGGCCCTCCCACATTCTCACGTATCAAGCAATCGCTTGATACCCCTGCTTCACGCCCAACCTCGCATTGCTGAGCCTCCCCTCCATTGGGCGCCGATCAAGAACCACCCCGGACGAACCAGTCTTGGCTTCAGTGCTTGTCATTGAGCTTCTGTTTCAGTCTTTTTTTTATTTTTTTTGGCCTCTGCTGTTGTCTGTCTGTCGTCTTGTCTTGTCTCGAGTGACCTCAATACGACGAGGTCAGCTCCGTCCAATGATCCTCTCAAGACGTCAACTGAACTGTTGTCACTAACCACAAGACGCCCTAGTTCGAAATCACTGAACTCTGTCCGACAAGCAAGAGAAGAGGGTGTGGAACCTTATTCCATAGCCTGCGCCTGTCCAAGCATGCCCGTCCTCCACTGTTTGTTATAGCCTGAGCCTGAGCCGCCACTTCGTTTCCAAACTGACCTTATCCGGCTCCGCTCCGTTGCTCTACTGCGCGCTGTAGGCCCTCGACCGGGCTCAAGCTGACTCCTCATCTCGTCTTGGCCTTTCTAAAAAATTTTGCTTTGTTTTATGAGGGAGGGAGGGAGAGAAAGAGACTTGGGGTAAGGAACAAGGTCCAGGTGGAGGTGTTAGTGTGTACATACCTTGCCGAGACGAGACTACCACTACCACTACCACTACCTAGCTTCTACTTCTACCTCTAGTTGACTTATCTTTTCACTTCTGCAACACACTTGATCTATTGTTTCTTCCTCTTTCACAACAAACTCTAGCTCCTCGCACGCTGCAATTGATAATTGAGCCTATCGTTATTTGCGCCAGTGTCTGATTCAGGCACTTGACTTGTCGTCCTTTCTACTACATCGACGTCATCGCCTGCGAACTACTCCGCCCGCTGTATATCTTGCTCCATCGCCTTTACAGCACTGTAGCACCTACAAACTGTACCTATACTTACACCTATAACCATACCGATACCGATACCGTCTTCCACCAGCACCTGACACTCAACGTTTTGCCTTTAAACGCCTTGGCAATCTGATTTTTCATTCAATCTCACCTTACGATTACTTCACTTGCTTCTGTTGTTAGTTTGTCTTGCCCAGTACCTCAGATAGCTTCCTCCACTCCATGTAAGTCTACCTGGTCCTCCACACTGTGGCTATACCTGTTTTTTCCAACCCGCTTCGTCAACACTTGAAATGCGCCCGTAACCCTGCCATACGCAATCTTCACTCAGCGTCAACCTCTTCAAGTGTGACTCAGCCTAACGTGGACTCTTTCCAGATTCGAACTCGGCCTTTGCTATTTCAGCGTTATCTCCGATCTCGTTCCGTTCGCCTTTTATATCGTCTCCGGCCTCATCCCGGCGTTAAACAAGCCTCCCCACGACGTCATCACGCCGAAAAATCCACCCGCAGACTCACTTCAACATCTCGTGCTTCAGCTTGAAGCATCTTCCAAAACTGCCCAAAACGGACGCATCAAGGGGTCGTCGTAGCCGCTCCTCCTCCTTCTTCTTAACTCTCGATCGCTTCTTTCACCCTCCCTAACATCCCCCTTGACCCAAGCTCAACCTTAGCTGCGCCGAAGGGAATCGATAAGAATCGAGCCGCCCATCACCAGTGAAGTTTGGAATAACCACTGTTGATAGTCGCGGGAAACAATACCATGGGAAACAACAACTCCACTCCAGGCGGATCCAACTCCAAAGGCTCCGGCTCGGCCGGGCCTGATGGACCCCTCCAATCTTACCCATCGTTCAGCAGATCTGACACCAAGGAATCGTCCCGCTCGTTTCGATCTCTAGGTTCAAAGATTCGTGGTAGCAAGTCTGATAGTCCCAGGAACTCACAGGTTCTATCCAATGGTGACACTGCGACTGAAACAAAGACTGAGGAACGACGGTCCAGTAGGCATGGACGTTCAAGCTCTTCTCGACTGAGTCGCAGTGAGCTTCCTCCGCTTAACACCGCTGCGTCAGACATGTCAGCGCCCGAATCGGCCCTCGCAGATTCGGCTATTGGAGACGATCAACCGCCTCCATCTCCTGTTCAAGGAAACACCAAGGGCGGTGCCCACGATGTGAGCGCTGCGCAAGCGTCGGGAGAGGTTGATCATGTTTCTGACCAACCTCCATCTGTCAATGCTGGAGCTACTGCGCACATGCAAGCTCCAGGCCAGTCTATTTTGGTGAAGCGAGAAAACACCATCAATCCAGTCAACAGCCCTTCTGCTGAGTCCAAGACAGAAGGAAACTCCAATGTCGCCATGTCTGAGATTAAGGATATCGATCTCGATGACTTTATTAAGCGACTCTTGGATGCGGGTTATGCTGGGAAGGTCACCAAGAGCGTCTGCCTCAAGAATGCTGAGATTGTGGCCATCTGTCAGAGGGCTAGGGAAGTCTTGCTGTCACAGCCTGCTCTCTTGGAGTTGGATGCCCCTGTAAAGGTCGTGGGTGATGTCCACGGCCAATATACCGATGTTATCCGAATGTTTGAGATGTGTGGCTTCCCCCCCAACTCGAACTACCTCTTCCTCGGCGACTACGTCGATCGAGGTAAGCAGTCTCTGGAAACTATCCTGCTACTACTCTGCTATAAGCTCAAGTTCCCCGAGAACTTTTTTCTCCTCCGCGGAAATCACGAGTGCGCCAATGTCACGCGAGTTTATGGCTTCTACGATGAATGCAAGCGAAGGTGCAATGTCAAAATCTGGAAGACGTTTATTGACTGCTTTAACACTCTACCTATTGCTGCCATTGTCGCGGGCAAGATCTTCTGCGTTCACGGAGGACTTTCACCTGCGCTAGTTCACATGGACGATATTCGAAACATTGCTCGACCGACAGATGTCCCTGATTATGGACTACTGAACGATCTTCTTTGGTCTGACCCCGCAGACATGGAACAAGACTGGGAAGCCAACGAGAGGGGTGTCAGTTATTGCTTTGGCAAACGAGTCATTACCGAATTTTTGGCCGTGCATGATTTTGATCTTATTTGTCGTGCGCACATGGTAGTTGAAGATGGTTACGAATTCTTCAATGATAGGGTTCTGGTAACAGTCTTTAGTGCCCCCAATGTAAGTTACACGTCTCCGCGTCTCCTCGGATATCCGGCTAACCCTTGTAGTACTGCGGTGAATTCGATAACTGGGGCGCTGTTATGTCGGTGTCTGCGGAGTTGCTTTGTAGCTTCGAGCTTCTTAAGCCTCTTGATTCGAGCGCTCTGAAGAGTCATATCAAGAAGAGCCGAAACAAGCGACAGCACATGCTCAACAGTCCGGTATGTTCCACAAGCAAGCACCTTCAAAACCTGTCTAATCATTGTCATAGCCCGCTATGGTCCAACCTCAGAGTGTGTAATAATATAAATTGCGAACACGAATCCGATTTTTATGCCACTTCCTCTATTGAGACATTCATTTAACGAACTACGGCAATCCGAGGGCGACCCGGACATTGCTGTCCAATTTCACCAGAATGAGCGGCGCAAACAGATCGACTCTTGAACCAGAGTATGAAAAGGTCAGATTGGGTTTGGGTACCGAGAACAAGCACACTCAGTATCCAGTTGCCAGTACCACGGTGTGACAGCCGCAAGGTCGCGGCTCTGTTCCGAGTGACGGACGTAACTGTCCTAATCAAAAGACCTGAAATGGTTGAATCGGTACACAAATCCCAGAATAGCGCCGCTGTGTATACGCTTTGGAGTTTGGGAAAGGTTGGCCTATACTTGAGGCGCACTTGTAAATGATTGATTGGAGGATTGGGAAGGATGCCTTATAGAGTATTATGGGCTTATAGCAAGATCCGAGATCTTGATTTGTGCATAGCACCAGGAATGAGTACAGACAGTTCCTATAAATATGTTTATGCTTTTTTATATGACTTGCATGTAATCGAATGTGATGTTGATGATTGGCCAATGCGGGGTGAATTGCTTAGTCATGGAGTTTGGGACGAAAATTGATCGTCGAAACCACAGACAATCAGCTTCACAACATCAGACAACCACCCCAAAATGCAACGCCACGCCTTCCGTTCGGTGTGCAGCCGGACAAGGCCAGAGCTCGAGCAGGTCTCGGATGCTTTTCGAAACTACGCCCGCCAATTCTCGACAACGCAGTTCCAGGCCGCCGATGGCCCAAGCCCCAGCACTCCGAGGCCACCTCGAAGCTCGGCTGGTGGTCCCAAGGTTATCGATATAAAGAGCATGCCCCTGCGCGGACGTGGGGGCCTCAGAGGGCGCGGCGAAGCTCGTGGAAGAGGAGGTCTTATGTTCAGAGGCCGAGGTGGGCTTGCTAGGGGAGGATCATCAGTTCAGCATCGATCCGCCACACCTGTTCGAACTTCTTCACCGACAAGAGGTCGTGGTGGTTTCGGTGCAAGCAGAGGACGAGGCGGTCGCGGAGGCCGTGCTCGTGGCCGAGGTGGAAGAACCAACGGTCGACGGCCAAGGGACGAAGAGGACAAGGATAAGAAGAAGATCGACCGAAACGAGTTCAACACATTGGATCCCGATGAGAAATCCTTTGACGATAACATTCGATTCGGCATCACCTCCGAATACAGGCCATCTCTCTCGCTGGAATCTATCAACGAATTTGCGCCCATTGCACCAAATTCCACCTCTGGAAAATCGGCTACAGTTCTCCAGAACCTCAGTGTCCTCGGCACAGCGGATCATGTCGGTGCACCAGACACCTTCCAGCCCAAATATTACGCCTCTGAGATAGAGGCCAATGGTGTCCGCTTCTTTGCCGACCCGAAAGATAAGGAGGCTACCGAGAAGTACCTCCAGGAGAAGCTCAAGGCTGAAGGCAAAGAATCCACAGGCCCCATCATCACAGACACTGAAGAGTCTATTCGTCAGGTCATCACAAAGCGGGCTATTCAGGGCCAGCATGAGACACCCAAGTTCGCTTCAGACCCTGTTGGTGTCTCTCGCTCATGGCACCTGAGGGCCGAAACTTACTCTGCCAACGATGTCAACTCCTTTGAGACGAAGTTGACGTCGCTGCTGGCTAAGAAGCCTGCTGCTGGAAAGGGTGCAAAGGCGCGTGCTTAAAAGAGTAGATCTTAGGATCATTGTACACTTGTCACGATATGTAATACTACAATATTCTGCATCTATCCTATCATACAATTACCATCTATAGTTGACGGATGGTCTGTGCTTCTTCCTGGTCAATTTCCTTCATCTTCTTGTCTTGTACCTTTTGAAGCTCCTTCTCGGCCTTCTTGACAATGTCAGGGAGGACAGTGCCCGACTTTTTCCAGTCCTTGAGTGTCTTTTCATGTCTGGATCTGGCATTGCGAATGCGGTCCTTCCAGTGCTGTACTGTCTCTTTGATTCGTCGCTCGACGTCGTCCTTGCGCTCGAGCTCCACCTTGAGGAGAAGCTCAAGCTCGTTGTCCTCTGATCGCTGTGGTTGCTGGTTGAACTCACGACTTGCCTGCACTGCTGACATGATAGGCTTGATGTACTCCTTGTCGTTCACGAGCAGTGAAATAGCTCGACCTGACCGAGGAACGACTTGCGCCAGCTCTCGTAGAGGGAATGTCACATCATTACCGTCATGATCCTTCATGGGCACAGGCAGGGATCCCAAATTGGTAGGGTTGAATCGTCCGCCATGGATCATACCAGCCAGCTGGGTCTTGAAGTGCGCATCAATAGGAGCATAAGCAGCAATGACAGCTGTAAAATCGAGGGGATCTTCCGGATCCGGCATCGGCACCTTTGCTGTATCGAACTCGGCCTTGTTCATGGAGCCTGCAGCAGCCTTCGCATTGGCGCTGTTGGGACTGTTGCTAGGGGCAGTAATCTTGCGCTTCTTGAACAGAGAGGGAGATGTGCTGAAGACGCGGGGTGTAGCGGCTATCGATCGGAGGGGAGCTGGGCTGGTTTGGTCAGTCAATTGCATGATGTGAAGATTGTGAGACGGGCCGTACCCCTCTGAGCGCACTAGTTGCCGCAGACATGTTCGTAGAGGACCATTGGCTCTTGACATTGCCATTGTGGTGATTTCGTGTTGTGAAATGTCGTTTCTAGTGTTAGGAGTTTATTAAGTGAGGGCCGAAATTCTTACGCGACGTCAGATCAGGACCTGGTTGTGAGTGATAAGATAAGCGCTGGGAATGGGCATTGATGGACATCACCCAAATAGTAGCTGCGGGCCAAATGAGAAGTAAGTAAGTCATACTGAATTATAAATATTACAGTGAATATGTACCTGATTATAAGAAATTTCTATTTATTAGATGTAAAGATAGAAGTGAGAAGTAGGTAGCTTTGTTTGAAGTTGTTAGTCAGATTTATAACTATACTTTTAGGATAACCTGTAGAAGACCATTGACTAAAGGTATTTCCTTTTATACTCCTTGTTTGTAATGCTTAGGGTTTAATAGCATGTAATCTGCAGATGACAGTTGGCTCAATCCTTTTTTCACTGCGAGGCCCTCGTCAAACACTTTCGAGGGGCATTTACGCATATGCTTCGAATATCCCGTAACCTATAACATAGATACCATAATAAGCCGCAGAATCCCTTAAACCCGGTCGTGTGGTGTAGTGGTATTATCATGTTTCCTTTACAATGTTATGCATAACAAGTTATCGGAAAAGGTCGCAGGTTCGAACCCTGCCACGATCAACGTGATGCATGATGTGTTGGTACTGGAATATCAGCAAATTCATATTTTTGGCCGATGCTCAGTAGTTCACGCTTTGCGGGGTAGTTATGGGTCTCTACGACATATGTAGGGCTGGCGCAAAACGAGTTCATTGGTTAATAGACTTGAAAACTAGGAGCACCTTTAACAGAAGGTAAATCAGTAATTGTTTATTTCAACCTTATATGAACTATGTAATAGCGGGCTGTAGATACTGAGGCAGAAATAGAGTGGCGTTGCAGAGCTTCTATTTAATTTATAGAACTCAGGTTGAAGAATATCACGCTCATTGTGGCAGGGTAAAAAGGCAAGGGAGAATATGGCGAAGTTAAGAGAGAAGGGGTTTGACAAGTAAGGCCTTAATGCAGACCATTCTACATCTATATTATATTATTACATGTTCCCGGCAAACTCGTCTAGAATCACTATGATCTGGGACTATCAAGTATTCCCCTCGCAAATCCTCTACTGAGTCTTACAGAGCGTGCCAGTATGACGGGTAACTTCTTCCAGCCATGTGTTGCAAACCACCAACTTACCATGCCACTGACTGCGAGACCCGTGAGGCTTATGGACCACATATCCCAATTCCTCGCCTTCCATATCGGCATACGCATATCCGCTGTTTGCAGATGCATCGGCCGTAACTCAACACCTTTCTTGAACCGAAGTTCTTGGTCTATCATAACTTCCTCGATGAGATCAGCTGCAGCATGTTTGCGTTTAGAGTTGAGAACTGCTATGCCTTGCATACGACGGACATTCATTGCAAAGGAACCGTCTTCGTCCTTTATGATGTTTGCAATAGCGGAGGAGATGGAGGATGGTGTCAGGTAGGATTTGTCGAGAGACATACCTACACCAGCGGCTTTTAGTCGGGCACTGTTGCAGAGCTGGTCGAAGAAGTATCCGATAGCGAGGACTGGTGTTCCATGGAAGAGAGTTTCGTTGGCACTGGAGCCGCCCCCATGAGTGAGAAAGAGGACTGTATGGCGGTGTGCTAGGATGGCGCGTTGCGGTGCAAAGATGGGAAGCCGAAAACGTGGGTGAGAATCGTTCAGAAGACCAGTAATAGATATGCTCGAACCATCAGATAGATTATAAGACTTGAGGGTGTCGAAATTGGCGCGAGGCTTTTGGGGGATAGACCATATGACTCCATTGATCGAGTCTTCGTCGAGAGCTTGGATGAATCCAAGGAGATACTTTTCAAGTTCTTCACCCGGAAGATTGACATGCGTCCCCAGGCACACGTAGATGGTTCTATCATGGTTGCTCAGAAACTGAGCCAGGTCGTCGTCTAATGGAAGGTATTCGTCGCTCAAGATAGGTCCAACAGGTGCCATGAGAGGCGGCAATTCCTTCGGTGCTTCAAGGCCCCAGAAGGAGTTGACCAGAACAAGATAGTCAGGCTTGGAGAGAAGAGAGTGACTATAGTTGACGCCAGCATCAACACGCATTCGTTTGGTCCATATTAACCAGGGGATGATAGCAGGCAGCGCGGCGAGAACCACAAATTCGTTCCAGAACCGCGATGATAGAGAAGCATGCTCCGAAGTCAAGACACCATCGGCTTGAAACCCAGGCTGGCCGGGATGATAACTGACAGGAGCCATGGCATAAGGCATTTGAGGCCAGACGCTCGCTAGTTGGATATTGAACTGCTTGAACATATCCCTCGCAGCGCTATCGGCGAAGAAATCTGCAACGATAAAGTCAGGCCTCGTAGAGTCATTTTCACACAAAGATCGAAGAGACTTGTAAGTATCAGTCCAGAAGTTGTCAAAAAAGTATTTTGACCTCATCATGGGACCGAAGCCGTGCTCATGACGCCAAAGACGCATTGTTTCGTAGTGGACATCCAAATCATCTTCCGAAGCGGCGGGACCGACTGTATATACGGTTTTAATGAAGGGATAATTAGCTGTCCAATCTTCCTGGCCTGCGCAGGTAGCGAATTGGACCTCATGGCCCCGAGAGGCGAGGACGGCGCCTATTTCGAGAACTGGAGCTATTGTCGTGTTAGCTTTGGTGTGTGTAAGTTGGAGGGTTCTGGAGAGGTACCTGCATGCGTAAACCCGCCTGTTGTGGCAAGCAGAAGGATTCTTCTGCGGAATTCATGGCTGTCAGCCATTATATTTAGGCTTAATACTTTAAATTGGAATGTGTGTGTGTTGTCGAATCGAGATGGGTTGGTTTATGTTGGTCTATGTATGACGCTTAGTTCCAGTGGAGGTTAACCAATTAATGCCTGGCAAAGTCGGAGCTTGGTTCTTTTCTGTACAGGGCTGGAGTCTGATACCCGGCAGCAGAGAAACGAAGCATTTACCATTCAGGGAGTCCTGTCCAAGTAACATAAATACTTGGACATGTTTAGGATAGGCAACTTGTAATAAACTTGGTAGACTTCGAGGTCTTCCAACAACCAAAGCTTGACATAAACACGGCTCGGGAAAGGATATCATAGATAGTCGATAACATTCCATTTCTCGTCTATCTCTATTATCATCGTCCATCGTATAGTCTTGTCTGAACTGGAGGACGTCATCTAACTCTCTTTGGACAAAGATCAAAGCCATGTTCGATCCTCCTCTTGGTACTCGGCACACTGATGTATATATATACTCAATCCAGGGCTCATGTCTGTCTGCACAAGGCATTACCAACAGCAATCCTAACGCCGTTCCCATGCTTTCCGCGTGCAACATTACCCAACTAAATGTCCCTTTTTCATCTCAACCTGCTCATCGTCGAGATACGTTCAACGTTGTCTCGATATCATCGACCAATCCAAGACAAAAAAACTAGGACAGCATCAAATAGCTAATCCAGCCAGCGTCAAAACTGGCGTTCAGGGGGGTATAAAGCGTTTTCCGGCTGCAAAGGCAAAGTCCGGATTCTCAGAAATGAAGTGAAAGGTAATTACGAAAAGTCATCAGGTCGTCCGGGTCTAGCCATATCGCCGGCTTGTTGAGCCAACTCCTTGGCCTCACGCGCCAGCCCAAAAGCGATGGGTGGCAGAGTTTGTACCCACATCCGCCATTCGTGAGAGTTGGTATCAATGCCAATGTTGGCCATATCTTGGCCTTGGTCAGCAGCCTCTAGTAGTCGTGCTCTGCAGTTTGCCAACGAGGCTGCCATTTCGCCTATGCCGTAGGCTTGTGTTTCTGAAATGATATTGCTAACAACGGCATTGATAGAGCCAATCTCGCCAGTAATCTGTCGCATCTCAGCATCACCCCGGATGGTGTTCACAAGCTGCTGGATGTCGGTTGAAAGGAGGGCATTCTGATCCTCAAGGTAGAGCTGAATAGTTGGTTAGTAATGTTGAGGATCTAGCGTCGAAGGGTAACTGACTTTAAGGTCTTCGGCGGCTCGGGGATCCAGCTGATGCGATCCTTGCCCATTGGCTTGATTGTTCGCACTGGAGTGCCCGAGCCCGATCGGTACCGCGCTCGCTTTCGACATGGGCCTTCCGGGATATGGCTCCGCGGATTGGCGAGGTGAGCCCAAAGGACTGTATGCCGAAGAGTCAATGCTTCCTCGCATGCCACCAAGACCCTGGAAGGGTGGTGGAGGAGGGAGCCCGCCTTGATTAGTCGAGGGGTGCTCGGTAGCTACAGGAGAAAAGAGTCCACTAGAATCCGCGGGGGTTACAGTTCCGTCGTCATCATCCAATTCTTCAGCGGGGGTTGTCCGGATTTTGACCAGGCCAAGAAGCTCCACGATGGCCGCTGCCAAGTGTGACGCTGCCGTATCGAGCAGTGAGACTGGGGACATTCCAGCACTGTGGGCAAAGTTCTTGGAGGCTGTGATGAGGTTGTTTGCGGTGGAGGACACCTTGGATCTGATCTTGGCCTGTTGCTGTGCGAAGTCTTCATCACTATTCTGTGGGACCTCGATGTCCTTGGTAATGCGGCGGACGCTGACAACAACTTGCTTCATTGCGTCGATAACCTTTTCTGGATCTTCGGTTCGTGCTTTTTGCAGGAGTTCGTCAATGGCGATTTGAAACTTGGTGACGTGAACATCTTTGACGAGTCCACGGTCATCCATGAATCCCTTTTCCCGGACATGCTTTGCTGCATCATGTTCAATTCCAGGACCAGCGGAAGATGCGCGCATGTGTCGCAATTGTGTCTTTGCGCCCGCGTATCGGTTCTTCCACTCGTGAACCTCGCGCTCGAGTCTCTCGATTGTCTGTTCCAGCTCTGCGTGTCGTTCGTGTGTTGAGCCGCTCTGCTGGGAAAGTTGGCGCATCTCAAGCAAGAATTCTTGCGCCTCTTTTCGGACCTCTTCTGTGACCTGCTGTTGTTCTCGGAGTTCCTGTCGGAGCTCATCATTTTCCCGCTGGAGGTCTGAATCCGATGCAGCGGGCCCAGTGCTGCGTGCTGATTCATGTGCTGCGGTCACGTCATCCCTAAGCCTTTGAATCTCAATATCGTGATCCTCCCGTACGCGCTGCAATTCCTGCTTCATTGAGTCGTTCAAGTTTTGCGCCTCAGCTAGTTTGTTCTCGAGGTTGAGTCTCAGGTCATTCCATTCCTGCTTCTCCTGGTTGGTAGTTGCAGACCGAGAACGTTCTTGATCCAACGCACTGTTCATCTCGTCTTCCTTCTTCCTCATGGCATCCTCCATGCTGTCCAATTTGTCACGTAGTTCTCGTACCTGATTTTGATAGTCCTCGATGAGCTTCTTATCGGCCTGTGAAATGTTAGGCGTTTTGTTGTTTCTAAGCTGCAGCAGCACAAACCTCTGAAGTCACACCGCTTCCAGCACTCCGTTTGCTCTCACGGTTCGGGTCCGGTTCTGTAAATCCTTCACCTTCGTCGTCTTCTTCGAGCATTATACTTTTGTTGGGAACGATCGTATTATTCTGATTGAGCTGTTTCGGGGTTGGGCGTCCGTAATCGCCATTCTGGGCACCTGGTGATGCTGGCATACCGTAAGCATCTGTCGGTCCAGGACCTCTCATAGATGG